AAAAAAAAATCAGTATCTACAAAAACACAACTGTAAATGTCTGAGTGTACTGTTCTTTAGCCATTGGTGGTCATATGACCGAGTGGCCCCCACCACCCCTAAGTCAGATTGTAATGGGATGTGTAAAGGTGTGAAAGTTCTCATGGAGAGCCATAGAGCACTTCATTTGACCAACGCGCCTTTTAAAGGCAGACGATTGTTTAAGGAAAGAAGGGGGGGGGGGTAAAAATCCCTCTTTTGCATTTTATTTGAAGAAGCGAGCGCCACTCTACTCCATCTAATAGTCATTAGCTTTCATTACAAGCGTTTGAAGTGGGAGCTGCTCTTTGTCCGGCGCTGAAAGGGCTGCGCCGGGGACGCACAATGACTTCTGACACGGGCACAGCCAGCACCGCGGAGGGGTCAGCACCCAGACAGCTGGACGGGCCGAGCTTGACCATTTACAGGCAAGTTAAAGGCCAAGTTGCCTTAACAGTGAAACGAACCCATGCCAGCTTCAATTTTCTTTTTTGTCATCCTCATTCTGTACTTTGGAACGATCCGGCTCATCTCCAAATGATTAAAACATGGATTTTTTGGGCTGTCCAGACAAAACCCTACGCATTTATGCATTTTCCCATTACGGTGGGTGTATTTTCTCCCCCAGGACTACGTTTTAAAGACCCGGGTGTTTGTTTTTGGGGCAGGGGCACCCGGCAGAGGCGCAGCGCGCAGGTGGCTAAACGAGCCCACTTCTCACGCAGGTGGCACAAACGCAGCGACGTGCTACTTTTCCCATCTCGTTATAATGGGGTGAAATTTTCCAAGTATTTAAGTGGGATAGATTAGCTGAGCACACAACGTTAATGCGAAACAAAATGGCCAATTAGTTTATTAATGAACGCTGGTGGCAGGGCGGAAACGATTCTGTGAGCGGCCTCTGATTTCTTCTGATCGTTTTTTTTTTTCAAATCAGAATTGGTGTGTGCCCTGTCTTTTACTCATACAAACCTAATAATACCAGTTTTTCATGGCTAATGCTGTCCAGGTTGCATGGCATATACCACTACAGTATGACAAGAATGTGTTTTATTCTTGAGTAAGATTATAGAGCTTAAAGCAAAAGTTGTACAGACTTTGCCGTTCCAAAGTTCTTTTGAAAGGAAAAAAAAACATCCGTTTTGAAGTTTGAAGTTATGTAACTTGAATTTAAACCTTGTTTTAAGGTATACAAATCCAAAAATAATATTAATAGTTATACTCCTGTGTTACATAATGAATTGGTGAGAGGTGAGGGTGTCAAAATTGGGTATAAAAAGGAGTTCCTGAGAATGTTTTGCTCTCCAATGAAGAATAAGTGAAAACCTAGTTGTGACTGCAACTCTGTGAGCTTATTTTTTCATTGCTTAAAAAAAATATCACAAGAGAGCCAATAAGTATCACATTCAAAGTCATACTTACATACATCTGCCTTTGTTGTTCTCCTTTTCAGCCTCAAAAAGCTGGGACTGGCTTCCAGGACCTGGAACCAATGAGGTCATGAGTTTCAGAAAACTCCAAAAGTGATGCCTGACTTCGCCACTGGGGGGCAGCATCTGCACAGAAGATCAAACTTTTGTCAGCAGTGGATTTGTCAGCATTAATTCAGCTGCACCACCACTGCATTGTTCTTTACGATTGTAAAACGTTAAAAATCACAACACAGCCCAAGTCAAATAAAATAAACATAAATAAACATAACACCTTATGTGCAAATGCATGGTATAATCCCTATCTACAACATCAAATCCAAAAATTGGTGGATATGCTCTAATTATTATTCAATTTATGCTCTATTATTTAAAGACATTGTTGTTATAATTATGACTGTGGTTCCACTGTGAGATTACAACCTGTACTGGTTTACTGGCTCTGGATAAGTCAAGATAAACAATAAAGAATTAAAACTAAATACCAATAAAGACAACATCCTGCTTAGCTCACACTGGGGGGCAGCATTTTACACTGAGCTGTGGATCCATCTGTCCTCATACTGGTTTCCATTTTGGATCAGTTTCAAGAGACCTCAAAACAAGACCTGAAGGTATTTGAAGATTAACTTTCAGAACCATCAACATTTATGTGAATTGTGTGATTTTTGGGGCAGGTGTGGAGCTGAACTGTTCAGCCTGGTCAGATAAGTAGTTTTAAACTAATCATGATTAAACTAAACTAACTTGTTTGGCTTTGTAGAAAAATTGTGAAGGACTAATCCTTGTTTCTTTAGCACTTATCATTAAATGTATCATGAGCCTCCATAAAAAGATTAATTTCTAATTTTCCTCTTTTCAGTGTTAAAAAGGTTTATGTGCAAACTTCCCATTTTATAATTATTCATGATTTTATTTTTATTCTTATCTGTGATCCTTTGGAAAGTCAACTCTCGCCAGCCTTATTTATGATTTTATTGTTATTTTTATTCTTATTGGTGATCTTTTGGAATGTTAATTCTTTCCAGCCTCAACAGTCTTAACGTTAAAACCAGATGTTGGGAGAGTTTATTTTCCTGTGGGAGAAGTGCCAATATGAACAAATGATCCAGAACACATCTAATACATTTGATTATTTAAAAAAATGTATTCCTAAACTATTAAACTCCTTACACTCACCTCAGGAATATGAAACTAAGCCAGTGTGCAGTTGAGAACCTTTCAGAGGGGGCCCTGAGGGGCCAGACTGTGAGTGGCTCTCCTCCGGAGCCCCGGGGGGGAAATCAACAGCAGGTATGGAACAAGAGGAAACTGCCTGACTTTTTTTTTTCTTTCTTCCTTCTTCTTCTTTTTTTTTTTTTTTTTTTTAAAGCAAAGTGAACTGATCACCTATTAACCAGCAGCGATCAGGGTCAGTGCGTAAAGGCCCGCAGGGTTTCACCATTAAACTCGACATCATTCTCAGCCGGCTCGGTCAACCCACAAGTTCCTGCTGCCGCTGCTGAGGGTTGGAAGCGAAAAGGGACGGCTAAAAGCCGTCATTACACATTCATCCGGATGAGTAATAAGACCACTCTCCCCGTTTTGGGCATCATTTCATAACTCCTGATGAGCTCCCCTCTAGCAGATCCCTTGAATGGCCCATACGCTTATAAGGGTATTGGAAAGGTTTTTTATTAAGAAAAACAATTAAAGATAAAAGGAAAACCAGTGAGGATCTGAGGAAAGAATGTGAGCTTTACGGCGCAGTCTTTAGGCCTGTAACTGTTATGTTTTGGCAACTGCTTTGCTTGATAAATAGATTAAATCATTTAGAAACGCCCGAGCCCTTATTGAGAATAATTCAACACGGGGAAAAATAATTCAAGGACAACTGGAAAATCACCTTGAAGCCACACAGGAAAAAAACATAGATGCTTATCCGGCCACACAATCCATTTAAAAGTTATTGAATAGAAAACGTCACAGTGGAAAGAAAGTGAGAGGCTTTTTTTTTCTCTCTCTTTTCTTTTTAGGCCTACTGCCGTCTTTTAGGGAACCTTTAGCTCTAAACGCCTAATCAACAACTTGTTTTACCTTATAATTTCCATCGGTAATGATTTTCTAATGCAGGCTCCACGCAAAGGAGCGCATTAAGGAGGATAATGATTAACCTGGTTAGTGCCGTGGGAGCAGCTCCAATAACAAAACAGGCTTCAGGACTTTCCTCGCAGGGGGACAAACTCAGCGGGGAAAAAAAGACTGTGGCACTCTTTGTTTCAGCCGGTGTGGTGGGAAAAAAAGGGCCCAGGACGTGTCAGATGGATTCAGTTTTTCGTTGACACGTCTCGCGGACAGCGACGACATTTCATCCAAAATACGTGCGTTTCTACATATCTAAATACAGACATCAAAAAACGAATTCAAACGCCAACAAAACATAAGTTGTTGTGTTCTCTTCTCTCCATTTTTCCTTAATCCCCTTATCCATCATTGAAGCGCAATATATATCTATATATAGATATATATATAAATGTGTGTGTGTAAAAAATAAGCAAAAAAAAAATTCCAAAAGAGTATATAAAGGAAAATAAGCAATATTGGGATTTTAGGCTTTTAGGCAAGACCAGATAATAAGCTCTCCTCGTTTTTTGGGGAGCTTGAAAGATGACTCCGCTCTTTAGGCAGCATTTTGTTCAAATGTTTGCTCAATTTTTAAAGCATCTCACTCATTTAGGTTTCAAATACGAACATACCACGGGAGCATTCTAAACATAATCCTCTCTGAAACAGCCCCCCCGCCCCTCCCTTCACCCCCTGCCGGCACAAGGTAATATCTTAAGAAGAATAAGATATTAAATCTAAATACGAATCATCGTGGCCCATTAATTGGCGCACACATGTTTTCCCAGCGTGTCCCTGTAACTAAGACGCGGTTTTGTGGGATCTGTGGAGCAGGTACTCCTCGTGAGAGAGCAATTGGCAGCAGCTCTGGTCCAATCAGCTCTCTCCCCTTCGTGGCGTTGCGCCTCCTGGAAGGTCGGAGGCGCTTTTCATGGTGCGCACTTGTGCACAGAAACCCTCTGGGAGCGCACAGGCTCTGCGTACCGGGGCTGCTTTCTGCACTGCTGACTTTAGGGGTAATCTCCTTCATCTAAACTGGTGTAGGTTGGAGGAAAGAAAAACAAAAAAACAAAAAAACAACCCAGTCAGCCGCACAACACCCGACCATTTTTCGGTCATGGTGCGATTTTGAGCGCGGGCTTTGCATTTCCCAGCAAGAGGACGAGAGGAACGAGAGGTGGGAGAAAAAAGACTTCACTTTCTGTTGTTTTTTTTTTGTTCAAATTGACAACCAGAGATGATGTTTTCGTCCGCGGGCAAGCGCTGCTTTACGATAGAGTCTCTGGTCGCCAAAGAGAGCCCCCTGACCAGCGACGATCCCATCCGGCCCACGGCTCTCACTTACCCCAACCCCACGACCGATGCCTTAATGAACAGTTACCAGAGCCCGCCGGGCAGGTCTCTGTACCAGAGCCCGGACCTGGTGTTCCCGGACACGGTCAGCCACCCGTCTCTCACGGTGGCCCCGCACCAGCTGGGGGGCTCCCACCTCCAGCATCCGCACTTCTTCGGGGCGCAGCACCGGGACCCGCTGAACTTCTACCCCTGGGTCCTGCGGAACAGATTCTTTGGGCACAGATTTCAAGGTAGGCATGCGATGCAACGATTGTAAAGTTGACCACAGGGGACGAAACACCCCCCCCCCCAAATTCAAGCCAAAAAATAGCGCGCATAAAATCCGTGCTGAAAGTTCAAATCGTTGGATTTGTTTTTAAGAATCTTTGCGTATAGAACTCCTACATGCGCATGCGTTTTTTTTAATAATGCACTAAAGCGGATGTAAAAATATTTCTAAAATAGTATCTTAAATAAATCTGACGATAGGGATTAATTAAAATCGTTGCAGTTTCCAGCTGCCCTCACATTTCCACTCTCGTTTAACCCCGAAGCTGCTCCCGGAAAACCACAGCAGGAAAAGATACAGAATGATTTCTTTGCCCTCCTCCCCTCTTCATGTTAAACTCGCCCTACAGGAACCATTCATTACACCTCATTTGATTATAAAAACATTGCACGGTGGATGGATTGTACAGGCCTGGGACGCAAAGAAATTCAATTCGTGGCAGATGGTACTGCGTCTTAATAACTCTTGGACTCATTGAGACTCAATTATTTACATACATATAAGTGTCTAAAAGTTCTGACGTAAAACATTTTTTTCTCTTCCACTATTACTTTGTGGGGGACATTTACAATTATCAAGGGTCTTGTAGATAATAAGGGAGTGCGTTTTGTGCTTAAATGCAGAATACTATAATTAACTAAATGGGAAAACTAAAGAATAATAGGAAACTGATTTTTTTTTTCATTCTTAAAATAATGGGAAAAATGTAGTCGACTAATAACAGATGTAGAAGCATGTATATATTTGCTACACATGCCTGTCTTAATTTAGAAGGGTTTTCTTTTTAGGCTAAATCGTTGGGTTATTGCAGATTATTTTGATGTCCTAATCTTATTAAATATTACATTTTATTAGTGACGGAGCATCAGTGAAATCAAATCAAGGGCAAAACGACACCTTGAAGAAGAATGTGAGAAAAAAGGCCACAGAATTTACATCAAATTAATCTACAAATCATCACCGACCACACGTAAATAACAAAATAAATTCAGATATGTTGGGGAGGAAAAAGGAATTAAAATAAATAAATTAAAACAGAAGAAGAAGAATCTCTTCTTCTGTCTTCCTGAAATGCCTTCACGTACTACGAACATTTATCAGAAATCCGAGCTTGAAACTAGTTGCTGCCTATTTTGTCTCATGTGAGGAAGACTAAAATACGTCCAATTTTTATCCTAAATAAATATTCTATTTCTGAATAACATTTACAAGTGAGGTAGCTTACAATCATATTTTTTGTTGGGTATATGACCGCATGTGCTAATAGTGTCGTTTATCGCTTCATTTATCCTTGAAATCAGTCATTTTATTTTTATTAATCTTTTTTTTAGTAAAATGTAAAATAGCGGGAAATTTGATTTTTCTTAAAAACAATTAGAAGATTGATATTGCGTTGGAGTATAATAGAGATTTCCCTGATGTTGGTGTCAGGTAACGACGTGTCCCAGGACAGCCTGCTCCTGCACGGACCCTTCGCCCGGAAACCCAAACGCATCCGGACGGCCTTCTCCCCCTCCCAGCTCCTGCGCCTGGAGAGAGCCTTCGAGAAGAACCACTACGTGGTCGGAGCCGAGAGAAAGCAACTGGCGAACAGCCTGAGTTTGTCCGAGACGCAGGCGAGTCCCACCGACTGATTTTTTTAAAGTACATTTTTACCTGTTTAATCATGACCCGTTTTGGAACCCCAGAAACATCCCAAAAATCCCCAAAGTATCCCGAAAAATTGGAAAGCGAAAATAACTTTTTTCCATGCCATTATTAAGAAATAACCCTATTTTAAACAGATAGCACTCTTAGTTCCCAAATGTATCATATTTTAATCTTTAAAAAAAAAATTAATTAAGTATGAAATTAATTATGACCACGTTTTGTCTCTCAGATTATTTAAATTCATGCTTACTCTCCAATAAAAGAGAGTAAATATTATTGATGCTAAAGACTAATGAGTCCACACCATCTGGGTGTCAATTAGGTCTAATAGGTGTTATAAAGAGATATATTCTGAGTCAGTGATTCGATAAATGAGGCTCTCAGCTTTAACTTTTGCCTCCTAAGAACAGGGGCCTTGTAATAAGCTGCACCATATATTCTAACAGTAAAGACTGACCTGAATAATATCTCTGTAATGATGGTAAACGTCATAAACGTTTTAAATTAAGTGAAGAAAAAGGTCAAATCTTGTATTAGTCCTTATGTTTGTGCCTTTACACACAAAACAATGTATAGGAACTACTGCAAATAAGTCTATTTGGAGAGTTTTGGGGGTTTTAGTGAAAAATAATTGGAAGGCTGGTGAAAGTCAACAAACAAGAGAGAGGAGAAAAGTGGCACTAGAGTGAGAGGATGTGTTGCTATTTTAAAAAAGACGCATCCTAGAAACATATGTCAGTGAGCAGCTCATATTCCACCGTCAGACTGCCACAGGAGTAGATGGGGAGCCATTTTTTAGTAGCAATTTTTCCTACAAATGAATGCTGTCAGAACAATGCGAAAATTGGATGTCTAGGTTGTATTTTTCTAGTGTGACTATGCAATCAGTTGTTCATTTTTGTCTCAGGAGTCCAAACTAAATCCAAAGATGACCCAAAAAAAGAGGATAAAAATCCAAAACAATCCATAACAATTCACTATAACTTGATGCTGGAGATAGATATTTCTTATTGTTCATACCCTGAAGTGACAGACTGATCCTCTTTTTTTCTCCAGGTGAAGGTGTGGTTCCAGAACAGGAGGACCAAGTACAAGCGACAGAAGCTGGAGGAGGAGGGTCCGGAGAGCCAGCAGAAGAAGAAGGGAAACCACCACATCAACAGATGGCGCATTGCCACCAAACAGGGCAACTCCGAGGACATAGACGTGACCTCAGAGGACTAAAAGCTCCCGCTGCTGCCCCTGACGCATCAAAGGACCAACATTATTTATTATCTAATATTATTAAGTGTAATTAGACATGTTAGAGGAGGACTAGAGGAGGATATACGTGATGGCTACACGCGTCCCCATCAAGGTGCTACACCCAGTGAGACTGGAGAGAAACTCATAATTCTGTGACGTCCGTCCTGAATGTCTGGATGAGGGGAGGTCCTTGTATCTTTTAATGATCTCTGGTTTGTGAGACAGCCAGAAAAGACAGGAAACGACATCAACTTCGACCATAGTGCTTATTTTTTTGTTCCATTTAGGTTCATTTGATTTTCTGTTATTGTACATAGGCCAATAATGAAGGTTGTTGCCGAAAGAGGGTATCTGTATGTTTTTTAACACAAAAAAAATCATCCTCTTATGTCATTAACACCTCATTGTTCACCCCGCCCACTCAGCCACCTGTTCGCCACCGTATTTCAGGTTTTTTTTTTTCTTAATGATGAAATGTGTTGACTAGCACTTTCCATCCACCCGGTGAGTATGATTGTGACCAGACAGCAGAACAGGAAACGTCTCAAGGATCCCAATTTGTCACTCTGCATGATTTTTGATGTCGCAACTTAAAAGCCGTTGGAGCGCTTTGCTGACCTGAGACGGGCCGGTCTTCTTCAGTACTGATGAGGGGCTGCAGGAGCCGCTTGCGCCACGCCACCTGCGTCATTTTGGGGCGATGAATGATGTATTCATTTGTTGGCTGATTTTAGAAGGCACTACGTGTAGAATAAAACATTTATGAGAAGACACTTTTCAAGTGGGGTGTGTAATTACAGAGAGATGGTTTAGAAAAATTAAAAAGAGAAAGTTGTTTCCCAGACAGAGCTGCGGTGTTTGTGTGAAATACAGATGCACATTGAGCCATTTTTAAATCCAACTGGAAGCATCGAAAACTTCACCCGTTAGATCGGACTCTCCTGCTGAAGGTGTGTTAGTTGGAGACATCTTGCTCCTGTGTTTGACTGGAACGACAAACTGCAGAGGTACAGTGGAGCACAAAGTGGTTAATGGGATGCAACAAAAAGCAGCAGGTGAGGATAGAGGAATTTATACATTCAAGTTTATTTTTCATTTTCTCACCTAATAAGTTACAGTCTAAAAGTAGAGGCAAATCTGGATGAATTATAACTATTTTCAATACTGTGTTGCAAGCAAGTTAAAAAATTCAATCCCACCTCCAGAAAAGTTGGTACATTTTCCTAATATGTGAACAATTTGTTAGCTTGTTTGAGATTGTTGACTTACGTCATTGTTTTTTAAAGAAGTCTGGAATTTGATGCCATCAACACACTAAAATTGGGATAATGGCAAAGGAAGAGGAAAAAAAGATTAAAACCATTAGTAGCACTATCATCAACTCGTAACAGGTGAGGGTCAGCATTGGCTACAAAAGGACATTGTGCCATTATGTTATAAGTAAAAAATATTTAAAAATATAACATAAATATACAGTGTATCGTATGGTGAAAATATTTTGCTAGTCTTTTGAGACCAAGACTGGAACCAAAAACTAGATTAACAGAATTTCGGAGGCCTTAGGTTCACTTCATGGATACCGTCATTTTTTTTGTAATTGGTATCGGCACACTTGCTCAGCAGTGCCTTGGAAAAGGAGTTTTTATTCAATACAGCCAGTTGCTGCACCCACAAACTATATCATGTGAAGGACTGACGAATCATTGTAGCATTTTCAGGGTACAAGTTCATCATGGAGAGACACTAATGGCCCTTTTCCACTGGTAAAGCTGTTGCCGGACTGCAGTCCTCAAGGGCAGCTATCCTGCAGGTTTTAGATGCTTCCCTGTGTCAATACAAAATTATTCTGATTAAATGGACCTATTGAAAGGATTGCTAAGCCCCTGCAAATGTCTGCTAATGGCACACTGATGTGTTGAATCATTGAAACACCTAAAACCTGCAGGACAGTGCCCCTACAGAGCCCCCCTGCCTTAGTACTACTGCCTATGCTCAGCAGGCCTCGGTTCAGTTTGGCTGGTTTTGCATAACAAATGAGGCCATAACAGCAAGACGGTCCGAAAGACCTGTGACCTCATTTGCATGCATTCTACACGGAAAACAACAACGGAGGACGTTGCGGCGACGAGATATTAGCTGAACATCGTGGTTGGTTGGCAGAGTAGACATTTATAACATTGATGGTCATAGACGTGCTCAAATCAAGTTGGCTTTTGTCAGGTTTTAAAAATGGGAGGGGGTTCTGCTGAGCCAGTCATGCCCAGATGTGTTTTCTAAAGGACACGAAAAATGGCTATGTCTGGTTCAATGTGCCAAAGATGAGAAAGTTACAAGGGGCGCTGATGCAGAAGCGTATATTCCAATTTTGGATAGACACATGCTTCCTCTAAGAAGCATTTTAGGTTAGAGGTTATTTCATCAAGATAATATCAGATGTTTTCTGTTTTACCTAAAGCAGCTTTAGACGCTTTACTGACCTTCCTGCTGCGCAGATTTCACTCCTGTTGAACATGTATGGAGCATTATGTAGAATAGATTCTTACATAAAACAACCACAGATTGCTAAGCAGCAAAATATTCAACTCATCAAGAATGCAGTTAAAACACAAGGCAGCAATAATTAAAATCCCCAGTTCGGAGAAAATAACGAGTGATTAAAAGGAAGTAGAATATCCCACAGGATCCCACACTTTGTCTCAAATAACAATGCATACAATGAGGTTTGCCACAAAACCCCAACATTGTCATTTTCTTTGTACATTCCGTTGAATAAATGAATGAAAAATATAAATTACTATATCAACAGATCCTCTTATCTTGTGGAAGGTGGTGCGTCTTAATAAACCTCATTGGAGGCCTCTCTAAACAAAATACTGCATGTCAAGAATGCTGCAGGACAGCTGCACAGGTGTCAGGTGTGTTTCCTACCGGCTGGTATTTCCTCTGAATTCCACGAGAAAACAGAAATAATTCCTATACAGAAGGTCCGTTTCTAAAAAATAGAGAAAGAGGAGAGAGAGAAAGTAGTTCCTATGGAGCAGTTGCCATTTTACCAACTACTTCAGTAATTACTTGTCAAAAGAAACGGAAGGAGCCCCAGCCTAATGACCCCGAGGCTTCACAGAAAAGCCCTGACGTCTGACCCCGCTGTCCTGTTTTGTAAGCTAAGAGGCAGGGAGACAGAGGAGGGAAAAAAAGGGAAGATGCAGGAGTAAAATACACAGCAGTAGTCTCACCTTTTTAACAAACGTGAACAATATGTCAGACATCTGGAGGTGCACAGGGGTCACATGGCTTGTTTTGAGTTCCCAGGATATCCTATACTCACTGCAGGTGCAAGTGCACACTAAAGGGACGTCGCAATTCTTTATTATTCAAACAAACACCACCAAATGTGTTTTAGCAGCTCATTGACGGTCCAAGTGCTTCACAGACTCTCCACAAGAAGGTTGGATTAGGCATGTCACATCCTGGCTAGCTTAATACAAGCTGTGTGTTTGGTTGTCTGTTAGGGCAACAATTAAGAAAAAAAAAAAATCCGGCTCATCTCCCTAAACGCTGCATGTCTCCGGCTGACTGAGTCAGCAGACAGGAGACCGAGAGCAGCAATCCGGAGCGAACAACAGTAGTCTCCCCAGAGGATCCAAAAACTGAGGTGGGGGAAGAAGGTGCTGCTTTCCTGCTGCTCTTAGAGGTGTAAGAAAGCTCAGCTAAACATAACTGGGATTGATCGCTGCTATCTGATTACATGGTTTGTGTGGGATGACTGAAACCTTCCACAAATAAAATGTTTTAAGAGAAGTTTTTAAAAAATCCCGTTGAGTGATAAATAGTGCAAGGCAGTCAGCCCTGCTGCGCATGACGAATCAAAATATGGAGGTGAAAATGTGAAAATAAAGGTTTCAAAGAGAAATAGACACCTGACCAAAGATCAGGTGATGCTAATGTCAGACCGAGTATGATTTGTACCAAAAAACAAACAGAAATCAGATGCATCTGTTTGAGGATGCATGAGGTTTGATTTTCACAATCTGGTTGCGTGCCATAACTCTCACCCAGCATCCTCTGCCTATCCTGCAAGTGGCCTCTTGTCGAATTATGCTTCAGTGCAACCTACCGTGCACCGTTCCCTCAGCAACCGCGCACACATACTTATCACACAAATCATGACGAATGACAGAGCGCTTATATAAACTATGGACATTTAAAATACAAATAGATGCTCCTTAATGTGAGGAAAGTTCCTCCAGAAAAAAAGGTAAAACACAGATTGATAGAAAATTTGATATAAATATTCATTTATTTATTAATTATTAGCAGTAATTACAAAAAAAGTTTTTTTCTCCAGAAATCTGAATTTGAATAGCTTACGAAGTGTGGAGGGCAATTAAAATCAACACTGATTTTTTCTGAAAGATAATACGATTGTGATAATAGAAAAATATCTATTTGTTAAACACTGTCTTCACCACCATCTTCTGGTCAAATGACTGTGTGTAACAGCGACATAAATCCACAAAATGTTGCTGTTGCATAACAAAACACCCTAGTTTTTTCCCCTAGTTATTCTTCTGCACACATGCGTCTTAGGTTACAAAAAGGGTGACTCAAATCCAGTTGTCTGTCATGATGATGACATTTGCTCCATCATAATGTACATATGTGATATTATTTATTTAGCCTGAAGGCTCAACATGAGAGAGGAGGGCAGGTGGGAGGTGTTTTTACACAGAGCTCCGTGCAGGAGAGCTTGTTTGGGGAGAGCTTGGGACTCATCCCACACAATTTCCTCTCACTATTTCACTGTCCTCTAAAATACATATTAGTTATTACAAAGTACACTGCCTGGCATCTGATGATGACTCACAATTACCTCTAAGGAAAAACTGAGTAAATGAAAATGTCCAAAGAGAATAAAAAGAAAAAAATGCAATTCATTTTGTAATCTATAAAAAACTGTTTAAGATGTACAAAGAGGGAAAAAAACAAAAATTTCTAAAAGGTCACATACATTGTACAGTCTAGACTGCAAGTCATGAAACAGCTATTATTAATTAATCATTCCTTGGTTAAGTGTCCATGCTGCTATTTTGCTAATACTTAGGAGCTGTTGTGCATTTCCCCATCACCCTTTCTGCTTATTGAAAGACCGTTATGGAGGCACTAGCATGCGCGCTCAGCATCAGCATCTCTGTAAACATATGTTACCTCCTCCTCCACAGTATTTCCCTGGCAGCTTCAGACGGGTCGACCCATGATGAGCAGCGGGCCTTTCTTCACTCAAATGTCGGCGGAGATCTCTCACAGTCCTTTATTGTATGTCACAATCTGACAATCTGTTGCCATAGCGATCTCTGGCTCCAGTTGATTCACACTGATCTGTGGGAATCAAAGCAGAACAAAAAGGTCGGCAGTTCGGATGCAAATATTTGGCACGAGCTATCAGATGGCAAATTCATATATCATATGTGTATCTTAGGAGTGTATTAAAAGGTTGCACGTAACTTGCAAGATTTTAAAAATTTCTTTTTTTGTGTAACTGAGTAAGTCTTAAAGACTAAATGTTCTCAATTTAGTGCTAATGTGCAAAAAGAGACAGTTTGGCAGATTAAAGTCTAATAATATTTGAACCAGAGACAGATGGCTGTCGGAGTTGGAGGCAGAATCCTAATCAGACATCTTGCTAGGTGTGAAATAGGGAAGTGGGACAAATTGAGTAGGCGGGGGGTCCAGGGGGAGGAGGACATTCATGTTGCTTATTGGGGAGATTTTTTTTTTAATCTGCTATCCTTGTGAAAGTGTAAAAGGGACTTGTGAGAGAAAAACAGGCCCGTCCAAGGAACGGGAGGCAGCTTTTTCACAGGACTGTTGGCGGCACATATGTCTGAAGTTTTTTGCCATATGGCTGTCTGAGCTATTTCCAGTGGTAATTAAATCCTAAACATTTTAAAGCCAGAACTGGTTGGCTCGTGTCAAAAAGTCACCTGGCACGGCGACAACAAAGACAGGGAGATGGAGAGAAAAACAAATTCTTGCTACAGCCGTTTAATGAGCAGGATGACACATACTGAGGCAATAAGGCTAAAGTTAGATCTCAGCCTGCTACTCTGGATGGCATCGGTGGCAGCGAATAAAGGCTGCGAGCGGATTCTAACAGAGCAGGTTACGTCTCAGAGGGCCACAATTCATTTGGATGAGGCTCAATGGGAAATGCTGAAGAGGTCAGGAGACTTCAATCATCAGTCATCATCATCATCAGAATCTGTGACATGGCAGAACTAAGGCTAGGCAATGCAAGCGTATTTGTATAGCAAACAGTTTAAAGTTCTTAGCAAAGAATACGAAGGTAGAAAAACAAAGAAAGAAAATTAATCAAAAAAAGAAGTTAGATAAGTAAAAAATGAAGGGTGCAGATAAAATACATACAGTTTCCATATACACAGATAACAGAACCATTTTCAGCCGGGATTTAAACATTGTCAGAGTTGGGGCCTGTTTCACCTCTTCAGGAAGACTGTTCAAGATTTTACCAATATAGAACTGAAATGAAGCTTCACCTTGTTTAGCTCTGACTATGGGCACCAGCAGGAGACTAGAACCTGAGGTTCTCAGAGTCCGAGCTGGCTCATACCGCTCTAACGTGTCAGAAATGTATTTTGGCGCTTGACCATGAAGAGACTTGTACACAAGCAGAGCGGTTTTAAAGTCTGTTCTCTCAGTGAGAGGAAGCCAGAGCAGAGACCTGAGCACGGGACTGATATGGTCGTATTTCCTGGTTCTGGCCAGAATTCTAGCAGCGACATTCTGGATGTTCTGCAGCTGTCATACAGCTCCTTTAGAGAGCCCAGAGAGCAGCTGTTACAGTAGTCTAACCTTCTAGAGACTAATGCATGGATCATTCTTTCTAGTTCTGGTTTAGACACTATTCCTCTGATTCTGGTAATGTTTTTGAGATGGTAAAAGGCTGCTGTTATTGATTTGATGTTTGCTTTTAGAGTTCACAATGTCAACAAAGCAGATATTCAACGCAGTCGGGATTGAAAGAGACACACAATAAATAGCCCATGAAAATGTTTTGGGTGATACTTGGCTAGATAGAGAGGAGCCAACACTTATTTCTTTACATTTTTGTTTCAAAGGTGTCCAATCTCTTTGTATTCTCTCAATTCATTCTTCGCCAGCAGTTCTCCAGGCTGGGGGTCTTCAAAGTTTTTTTTTGGACATTGACTGCTTTGTCATTCACTTTCAACTCAATACCAGATCCTGTGCATTTTTAGAGGGCTTTTTTGTTTAAGACTCTTAACACTTAAGCCTTAGAATCTTAATGCATAAAATGATGTTAAACTCAAGGGCTGTGAAGGCATAACTGACAACTTAGCAAAGTACCCCAGGAACCCCCATGAAATAAGATTTTAGCATCAACAAGGTGATTCCCAAAGATATATCAGCCAAACACAGCCATGCAAAAAGACTAGGAAACTGGAGAAGTGTAGGACAAAAAAAAGAGTCACACATAAAAACTATTAACAGCATCTGAAAGTGATGCCCCTAAAAAAAACAAGAGCTGACACGTGATCTATGCAGAGAGTCATCGACAGAGCTCAGACCTCATAATAACTAAATCATCATGACAGAGAATGTAGCTAAAAGCAGTAGAGATCCAATGTAAGACTTTGAGAGTTCCTCTGAGGAGCCTGGAAAACTATTCCTGAAGACTGCTTAAAGAAAGGACACAATGCTTGTAGAAGAAGGTCTAGGCTCTGCACATTGAAGATGCTCATCGCAAATATTGACTTTCAAGTTCGTTGGAATTGTACAAATAATGTTTTTACATGATATACCGCATTTCTATTTAGGTTTGGACACGTTTCAATAAGCTCTCCAAACACTGGTAACCACATGGATTTTGAAAGGGAAAATGTGAGATGCCTATTATGCAGGTTTAACCGTTACCCATGTTTACAGAGAGCTTAAAAACAGAGTTATATCAAAAGCTGCACATTTCAAAACATACATTTCCATTTCAATACAAAAGAGAAAAAGACAATTAAAAAGAACCAAACAAAAAAAAGAGGAAATGTTTTAAATATTCTACACACTCCAAGAATGCTTACGAGAACATGGTTGAGAGGGACAATTTTGTGACGGAGTACCTGAGACATCTGCGGGAAGAGGCTGATGGCGAGGGGCAGAGCCAAGCTAAAGGCAGAGAGAACCACCAGGCTGTGGACAGGCAGCACGAGCCTCCGGTGTTTTTGCAGGAGAGGGAGCCTGATGGGAGGCAATGAGTGAGCTCTTTTGAAAGAAGCTGTGCCTGTGATGGCACCGGATAGAAGATTTACCTTCCATATGCTGACAGGGTATGCAGAAGACTTTATGCAACAGGTGACGAGGCAGAAAAACACACATCAGTATATATACAGTCAGAATAAAGTCACCTAAGTTAAGAGGACTCTAACAAGAGAAAGCAGCTCAGTGTTACACATGAAATGATTTCCTATCCATAACCTGCCTGCTGTAAAACAGATATATACTACCTATTATGTCCCGTCTTGACGACAAGCTGTCAGGGTTAATTTTCCTGTGGGTTTGCGGGATCAAACCATGCCTCTTTACTGGAAATCATTTCTCAGAAAATGAGTCAGCCTGTACAAAACGGGTGCAAAATCTGCGCTTGTTAATTGAATTAGCTCCACGTTTCTCCGGAAAAACATTTTCAAAAAATATTTCTGACCCGAGGTTCAACGTGAGAGGTATTTGACTGTAGCGATGGAAAAAAGTAAAGGTTTATTTCCAGACAGTTATATGGACTCCGTGCTTATCATTAGTTGGCAGACTGACAATTATATCAATGGTACCCCTTTTTCAATGTTTCTGGTAGTCATTTTTTCTAAAAAAAAAAGTGACGATGTATGAACCAATGTATGCACTGTACACAGTTACACAGCATCCCACCATTTGACCCAAATGTACTCCAAATGGGATACTTTTTTTGCCCTCTAAAAATCTGTCCCAGAGGTTGAAATCATTTAAAGGCATTGAAGAAAAAGTCTGGAGTAGGAAAATAATTGTGATTACTGGGACTCCTGTACCGGTTCACTTGGGAACACACGGGTATCCAAACCCACAAAATAGTAGTCACTTTTCTCTCATTTGATGGACCATGTTGTGAGGTCGATTTAGTGATAACCAACATAAATGCTCGTCCAGGCATTTATGGAATTTTCTGAAACAACATTTTATAAGGACTGGGCAAAGTAATTGTCATTTTATGAGTAGCTGTTAGCTTCGCTCTCAGATTCTCTCCATCAGAGTAATGACTGCTGTTTACCGCGGATACGACACTAACTACCCACTTAAAAAAAGCATAATGGCACTTTAAATGTATAATCTTTTAGAGGCCAGCTGTAAAAATCTAAATAAAGATTAAGACCATTCTGTGAACGTGTCTCCACAAACTGCTTCCTCCTCACTGCCCTCCGTAGGATAATCTCCTATTCAGTGTGTGGGACAGCGAACTCAGCGGGAGCTTGAGAAAGAGCCGCTCCATCTTTCCTCCACCAGTGACGCCCCCCCTCCTCAATAACAAGGAGAGCTACTGCCTAATGAGGGAGCTCATTAACACATATGGCTGCCATGGTTTAATTAGGCTACACACACACACACACACACACACACACTGACACAACTCATACACACCTAAAGAAGTGCATTTAAAAAGGGAAAAAAAGTTGTGAAGTATTATGAGATGCAAGTGGCAAGGTAACATAGGTCTAACACAAATCTGCTTAAGAACCTTTGAATCGTTTTGAAATAGGTATAATCAGAAATTATTGACGCCATTTCATTTAGAGCCGTTTGTGTTAACCGGCTCTGAGTAACCTGACTTGATTTCTTATATTTATCTTTTAACACAAAGCTTTTGATTCACTCGACAAACAAATACGCCACATTTGCTCACTTTTTTATTCTTTGGTTATGTTGCAGTCATGTGAAACCTGTGACGCTTTCTGAGAATTGAGGCGGATTGAAATGGAACGGTTTGGAATTTATAAAGAACTTAAACTTGCTTAAGAACCGGTGTCATCGTCGAGTGTGCATGCAGCCCTCTGCAGACTGCAGCAGGATCAGAATCTTGCTCATGCTTGCTCATGCTACAGTGGTAGCATGGAGACAATGGTTCAGTACTCTTGCCTCTACAGACAAAGGTGTGACACAATATTCGAGTTTGCATGCTGCAACATGCAGGGTGAACCAGTGCTCCACCATGGCTTTGCGTATAGACATGCACAGATTAACAGTCCTTTAAGACTAATTCATGGTAGCTACATCCATGGGGGTGAACCAAAGGGCATGCAGTTATGCATTAAACATTTTTAGTCAGCTCCACTGAGGCTTCTAAACCATGGGCATGTAACAGTCTTTTGTGCTCCAATTAAGTGTTGATGGTGACACTATATCAATATCACAAACAGAGGCATTAAAAAATATATATATATTCAATAAATAAAACAGAGGTGGGTATAAATTGTTTACATTCTGCTTTCTTATCCCAATTGAAGTTACCTGGGTTTGTGGACAAATGCGGCTTGTGGGTGTGTGTGAGAACAGGACTATCTGTCAGCGCACTAAATGTGTTCTCAGCAGTGTAATCCATCATTGAGGGGCCGCCCGGGGACCCGTCTCTGTCCCCTTGTTCTCGCTCCATTGAGAGCCAGTGAAGGCAAGCTGACATAAAGAAAAGCTGTGCACCACTCGTACGCAGCCTCGCAGCTCCCTGCTAACTCTGACTTACAAACACATACATAAACACCCCCTTGTCCTGTAGCTCCCCGTTCAGTCATTCAGCTGCCTGGAATCCCAAACACACCTGGGCAGCCGGCTGTGCTGCCTTAGCCCGCCCACTCAGAGACGAGCGCTGTCGGGGAGTGGCAGAGATGACAGCATTTCTCGGCACCCTATAAGCGCAGTCTCCATCCATCACTTAAAAACGGGGCATCATTAGAACATTATTACAGTCACATCAGGTGACAGTGACTTTCAGTGGTGGGGAGGGTTCACTTGACACTGGAGGCCTACTGCAGCACCTCTGTGTATGAGTGCATCTAAGACTCAGAATGACTCACGTTAAGAATAATCTCTATTAAAAGTATTTAAAGGGATTCATATAGGACAAAGCTCTGGTGCAGTTGAATCTACACTAAAGCTTGTCTTTAGGCCATGACAAGAAAGCTTATGATTTAAAAACGGCTGGTAGAAGATCAGCTCTCTCACCAAGGCCAGATAACTCTTTAGATACAATCATCTTTTTTTGGTTGAATTCTAATTTTGCTTCCCAACTCAATTATTGAAAACTGAATAATTATGCCCCATTCCACTATTTGACCATTTTTTAGACTCTTAAACATGATAGAACATACACTTAAAAACCTGAGGTCATACCAGCACACAGCAAATCCAGCTCAGACAGCCACCAAACAAACAGGTAAAAAACAAATAAAAACACATAAAACACCAACTGTCCCCTTCAATTGAGGAAAAAAGGCTTACTTTTCCAATACAGTCATGATCAAGGGAGGAAGCACCAGAATAGGCATGGGCAGGACCACTCTGGTCAGGGCTGTCTCCAGAAGTGCCTGACACGAGAATCATGACTCATCACTTAGTTTGAACTGGGGAATCGAGAAAATATTACAGCACTGACAAAACAGCATAAAAAACACACATCTGTGTACATCGTTTGTTAGAGCTATGCCACATACATGCCTGGCAGCCACTTTGGAAGTCCCCACTACTTTGCCCTTATCGTCGAGCACGCTGATGCCCTCTGACAGCTCAGAGTGTCTCATCAGCACCACGTTGCAGACGTTTGCGCTCGCTGTGAAGAGAGAACGATATTTACAAAGATTAAGGACTATTACTGCAATTGCTTCTACAGCATATCATATTTAAAAGTTAGTACAGCAAAAAATATCGTAAGAACAGAGAGAAGAGTCTACAACTCCATTGTCATAGACAGTTGGAACCTCAAGCATAACCAACAAAAACACGATGTAATAATTGTCAAATCTCATACAAATCTGAATATTTCATCTTTAACTTAATGCCTGCAGATATGGTGTAAAAAAAGTGTTTTAATACTTTCTGCATGAGACCATGGCATTAAAAAAACATTTAAAGACTAATCCATGCCTCTGTAAAGGCAGTGACCCCCGTTTGCTTTACTCACTGATCCAATAAAGTGCATCCCTGCTATCATTTGCGTCATGATTCACAGAACAGAATGCCGTGTCCGAGTGTGGCTTTTTAACAAATGACAGCCAACAGCTGACAAGAATGAATGTATAAAAATAAATAAATAAATAAATAAGAAAGGAAGGCTGACAAACAGCAGTGTGGTTCCACCCAATTTATTCACGAAAGCCAAAATGAACACAAATGTATGTTAATGTAGATGGACCTTTCTTCTTGACTCTAATGGGAATAAGAAAAACTAATTTTACAGAGTTTAGTGGTGGTGCCTGAAGCCTTTTTAATTTAAGACAACAGCGTTTGGAGTTATCTTTCCCGAGGCCCGAGGGGACAGTAGGTCGCTTTGTGAGGGGAATTTAATTGACTGAGCAAACAACTCCTTTTACCTACAAGGGATTTTATCCTTTATTAATCCAGGCTAATAAACTAAAGCATAGATAAAATGATTTTTTGGCAAGGCATGACAAAACCTGAAGCAGAAAGATCAAATTCTTCAAAGCAAAACTGTAATTATACTAATAAAGACATCAGAGTAATTAGACATTTTTGATAATTATAAAATCTGCACAGCTAAATGCTGACATGTGGATGTAATTTGTAATTATTCAAAATAATTACATATATATACACACTAATTATATCTGATAGCCAGTGGTACATTTACGGAAGCACAACCAAGAAATTGTCACGTAATTAAGTCCTAAATATCACAAATAATGAGAAATATTTTTCCAAAGAAAACTAATTAATCATTGCCCGCATTTCTGCTCACATGAATTCCCCCCCAGTTAAAGTCTTTATAATTTAATTGAATGACAGGCCGCTGCTTGATTAGGTTATTACAAATAAATCCAGCCTTAAGTAAGCAAACCGAATCAAACGGGTGAAAATTCAAACAGCACTTTGCTTTCCCCCGCTTCAATTAGCCATTTTAATTACCTTTTATATGGGCCCACAAAAACAACAACAGCAACAACAATGCACAAAGTGAAGTCAGGTAAATGAGGCCTTGACATAGACGCCACTTTAGGGGTAATTATCCAATTTGTTTGCGGCAGCAGAGTTCCAACCGGCAGCCAATTACCAGGCAGAGGCTACACCGCGGAAACCTGTTGATTTAATTAGAAGAGCTGGTATGGTAAGGGAAAGGGAGTCAAGCGGGGGTAGGGTGGCAGAGGGGTGGGGGGGGGGGAGCAGGCAAACAATTTAATTATGAGCCAGCAGCCTGGGGCATTCTGGGACACGGGTCTATACCCCTAGGTGGGATTGTGTTTGTGGGAGAGTGGCATGGAAATCAGCTTTGCTGCTCCACACACGTGTGACAAAAGCAGGCTCCCAGCATGCCTCCAACGCCGCAGAGGCGAGGATGGACCGCAAGGAGTTGAGAGTAAACCAGAGGTCTCAGTCTTGGCTTTGGCGGAGAGAAATATTGTGACCACGACAGCAATAAGTGGCATTTACGAGGCTTAGGATGAGAACCCCCTGACGTCTGGGTGACAAGTGGAAACACTTTGTGCGCAGCTTTAATAATACAGTATTGATAACCCGCCCATAAACGATGGGGGGAAAAAAACAAACGCACACGCAAAATCATTTCTAAACTAAATAAATACTTAAATCTCAGTGCTGTAATGCCTGGTGTGCTGGAGTTTAGGGGGGCTTTTGTATACTTACCCACAGCAGGAAATGGGATGAACCTCTGAACCAAAAGCCTGGTGGTTGGACTAAAGCGACCAGCTCTCTGGATTAAAACGTTCAGCCCGACCTGAAGACACACCACATGATTTTTTCGGACCGTAACTTTGACAAAACATTGTGCATTTGGAAGATGTGTAAAAGTGGACAAAAACCTGGACAAAGAAGAATTCCCTTACACTTTATTAAACAAATTACAAGAAGAAAAAAAGTTCAAACTCTGGTCTAGTTTAAATTAATAGAGGGGGTGTGCTCAAAAGGGTCCGTGTGTTCAGATAACACACAAACACACCACTCCAGCCTCTCGCTCTACTCAGCCCAGCAGGGGGTCGTCACCAGAATGGATGTTTAATTGGAGAGCTCCTGCCCACCTCCCGGCCCGTCGTTCCTCCCATCAGACTCCCCCGCGATTTTTTTTTTCTACTCTTGCTGCTGTTGTTAGGCCTGAGGCCATCAGCCGGATGACGCCCAGCAGGACCAGTAATTGGCTCGCTTTGAGCTTATTCTCCACGTGAAAGGTTGTCAGACAGGTGTGCGAACAAGCCCGACAATCTTTAAAACTTTGGGTCTTTGATGACGTGGAGGTAAGAAAACAGTGAAGACCGGTATAAGCTGACATTCACTCTCTTTAGGCTGCGACATTCAATTTTAAACCTAAACTCAGATGAGTAGATGGAACAGCACTTTCCAGTTTGATTCAGGGAACACAGGCCAAGTAAGGGGCCGGGGCATTTCCTTGGGTGTTAAAAGTGTTTACTCGACAGATTGCTAATGATCATGGTGCTGTTCAAAGTGGCCATCTTATTTATGATGGGCAAAGTCTTGTTTCATTTACATCTATAGCAGCATATCTATTTCAACACATCATAACTTGCTGAATTCAAAATGTTAGATTTTTTATAAATAGCCTTTTTACAGATAAAAATGGGAAGACCTGAAAGTGTATTTATTTCCTACTACAGTTTATGTAGATGGGTATTGTCTAGATTGCTCATTTACATATTGAACCACATTATCTGTGCAGGTGTGAAAACTGATGAGAATTCAAATTAATAACTTAGAGGAGAAAATTGTAAATTAATCTTCAGTATGTTCACTAGATACGACGCAGACATAATATACAGTGGTTTTATCAATGAAGATACAATCCAATTTAAAAGGCTCAAATAACAATTTAACATATCATAAACAACTGGAATAACAACAGCAAGCTTGTTAAAAAAGGCATTTAACTTTGAACTTATTAAACCCTGAGAGACATAATGACCTGATGACACTGTTATAGATTAAGATTAATAATCAATTATTTCAACCCAAGAACTGGGACTCACTGTCTGACGACATGTCTTTTGGGACAGTTGCTTAAAATATCAGAACAGCAATCTGGATTTACGAATCATTGCTCCTGAAATAAATGTTGAAATAAGCATGCTTTTGAAGATTAAACACCTCTCAACATCCTCTCACTTGCAAAATGCCGTTTCCTTTTTCAAGTGCACCACAACGCACCGTATCAGCAACTGCAGGGGATACCACGGGTACTCACAGCGATAGATACAGCGCTGGACACCGCCCCGGCATAACCCTGGAGGAATTTGGAGACTGGAGCGGGCTGATGGGACAGCAGAAAGGAAAAAAAAGGTTAATCGCGAGTTCAAAAAGGAGGAAAAAAACGTGAAAGGGACTTGGTCCTTTGGTTTCAGGAACTGCACCTTGGAAGCGTTGCGGTTGCAGTAGTTAACGCAGGCATTGTGACTCTGGTTTAACCACTGAAAGAAGAAAAGAGGAGGTTATGGAGCTTTTACTGTATGTTTTTCAGTACGTTCGACCCTTAGATAACAGACCTAAGGGGTTCTTGGTTGGATGTTGGAGAATATGGCTTAATATATTTTCATCAAGGAATCAGTTCATCCACTGGGAAACAGTACTTTCTTTTGACAATAGTGTAGATATATATATATAAAGAAAAAAAGGAATGTCGCCTTTTTTAATTAATTATTATAAATTGAAAGGTTAGCAGCAACAGTAATGTTATCTTGACTTTTGGAGTTGTACAGATAAACGAAAATACCTGCCAAAAGATAGTTGACATCAGTGTTTGGTTTGGGAGAAGGAGGCCGATGACCTACACAGACAGGAAGTAAAACACTTGCAACAAGAACTTTGTTTTGATCTCTGTCTATAGTAGATAAGGTAAGACGTATGCAATTCATCGGTTTTTCCCATACTAGACAAGTAGGGGAAAAAAAGTTTTAAAAAATACAGAAAGGCAGATCTTACCACTGGTGTGCCAAAAGGGATAAAACCTGTGACGAGAAAGCCTGTATCATCATTCTTATCATCCAATGCTGGAAAAATATGAATTTAATCTATTCTGCTCCTAATAAAGGATTTCTAAAATTTTGTGGTGATGTTACTGTTTTATTCTTCGAAGTATTCGTGTAAAATTGAAGATAGCTTTCTATCTCTGCTTAACCAGCAGCAGGTGCTGTGCTCATTCCTCATTTATGACTCAGGTTAACAGCCTGTTCCTGCTCCCCTCCTCCCCTGTTCCTTCTCGCTCCCACTCACCCTTAGCACTTCAAGGTCATTCACACTGAAAAGTCAGTTTAAATATAAAGCAAAGAAAATCATAAAATACTTGATGTTTGCTTCTTCAGAAACGTAGAGAACTTCTCCGTCACCATAGGGGAGAGGTTTTAATCAGCACCCAGCTGAGTGTGACCTTTTCGAGGCCTGAGACAACCTGAAGAGCCCTGTTGAGCCCTGACAGTTCCCCGGGGGAACAACGCCTCCATGTTGGCCCACATAACAAGCCCCCAGATCCCACGTCCCCTGGGACTTCCACACCGAGCTACGCTACCTGACATCCGAAAGGGCATGAGGATCTTCTCCCCTGTGTCGGGGTGGATAATGGCCTGTGATAAGAGCACAATGATTAGAATCACACGGTAATGAGGATGGAAAGATTTGGGCTCCTTAAGTCGAGATGAAGTTGACAGTTCATGGAAGTGGAATAACTAGAAGTAATACAGTATAGCGTTGGGTGTTTTCTGCGCCATTTGCCTGCTAAAGCTAAGGACTGGTGTTAGTTCTAATGGCCTTTTTATTGACACTGTGTCACAAAAATCAGATTACTGTACAGGGCTTGTGCACTTACTCTGAGGTACGGTGAGTAAAAATCATACCTGCTTTATCTTCTGAGCTTGCCACAGCTGAAAAATCAGAAATAAAGAAAGTTAGCCTTTCACTTTTCAATACTAAATGTCAGCTCATGTGTCAGAGGTGAATGTCTTCACCTGAGCATCTGTCACTCCGGGGGGCAGAGTCCCTCGTTTGAAACTGTCAAGCATCTCCACACACTCCTGCAGCTGTTTCTGGTGTGATGGAAGATAAATCGAATGAAAAACTGAGCGTGTAAGACTGTTAGATTTGGGAGGTTTTTTTTCAGTTCCACTAAGTAAACGGCACAGATGAGGATGTGATAAATAGATTTGGGAAAAAAAAGAAAAAAAATCAAGGAGATCTTTATTTGACAGATGAGTTTCCTAAACAGGTAATGAGTGTTTTTCCTGCGGTGTGAACACTGACTAATGCTGAGCAAATCACAAAGTCACGTGGATCAATTTGCTCTAATGAGCTTGCCAAATATGTGTGTAGCGGTGGCAAAGTGTGCGCGTGAGGTCATGTGTGTGTTTAAAGCGCGGCCGTCCCTGCTCCACTCTCATCATTAGGGGCAAGTCGAGACTACGCCTAACCCAGCAAGGTGCAAGGCTATTGTGTGTGTTTGTGTGTTAGACGGAGAGTGTGCTCTTTCCACCCCTCACAGTTGCCCCATATGTCCATGGCCTGTCGCATCCCAGGAGCTAGATCAGCTATTACCGTCACCAAAGAGCTCGCTAACAGCTTCATTACCCAGAGAGCCTGAGCCCTGATGAATCTGTGAACAAGTATGGCCACAACACAACTGGGACCTGTAGAAATGTTAAAGCAAGCAAAGCAGCCCAGCAGAGGTTTAAAAATGACGGCTAGTCATACAAAGGTCACACAGGGTTTTAGGAAATAAATTAGTCCTGTTAAACAGAGGCAATGAAATCAAAACATTACAATACAGATTCTGTAACCCTTGAACGTTGTCATCTGATTAGACCTAATCAGTTCTGAGGTTTGATGCTTTGGGACATAGGGATAAAAAGTCATGTGGGTCTGATCAATCTCTTATAAACACAGCCGTCAGCTGAATAATAACACTTGATATTACAATGTGTCCGAATTAATTCAACAAGAATAAATCATAAAACAGAAGTAGGGTGTGAAAAAAAAGTCCCGGTTTACTGCTTCCTGCTGTGCTTAAATATGTAGGTGGCAGCTTTGAATAGGCCATCCGCTTCTCAATAAAAACAGAAGTTCTGGCAATTTTATGGTGTGAAGTGGGGATCTCAAACTCCCGTCCTTTAGGGCCACTGTCCTGCAGGCTTTAGATGTTTCCCTGCTTCAACACACCGGATTTAGACTTAACAGATCTCTACAAAAGACTATTAAGTTATGCACAAGTCTGAAAATGCTGCGACTATTTGAACCAGATGTGTTAAGGTAAGGACACATCTAAAACCTGCAGGACAGCAGTTCACGAGGTCCAGAGTTTGAGATCCCTTGTCTGGAACTTCAGGTGTGTGAACATAAAGCCAATGAGGAAAGACATCAGCAAAGATATCAGAGAAATACTGGCTGCGGTGGGGCTACCTGGGGTGGATTATAAGGTCAGTACCAAACTATTAGGATTCCACAATTTTACAGGAAGGTCCAACCCTCAAAACCTCAGACTCCTCAGGCCTCAGTTAGGATATTTAAACTTAAAATTCATGACAGTAAGGTTAGGAAAATATTAAAGCATGACCTGTTTGCAGAAATGACTTGGAAAAAAAAAACATAGCAGCCTGGTTGAAATGATGCGATAGGACCAAAAGCGGGCCAAAATACCATCACAGCGTTTTGAAATAGCATAAAACACAATTCACAAAAACACACATTCCATTAATAGGATGACTGATTCAAATATTTGTTGTTAAAAGTGATTGTCCTGGATCAATCATTCATGGTGTAAATGCAGTGTGTGTTGGCGTTCATTGTTACAGTTGAACTTGTAAGGATCAGATTATTTCTTAGGTAAATTCCCCCATAGACTTTAAAGGAGTATGCATACCTCTGTCACAAACAGTGTGCTCGGGTCAATCACATCCAGAAAGTGTCTGAACCGTCCAAAGAATGTGTGCTATAAGAGGAAGTAAATGCAGAAATTTTTCAGTAAATGATAGAACATAAATGATCAAAACAATACATTCATTTTGAAACTGATGACTGTTATTCTAATCTAAACATTAACATCTGCATTAACTACAAATGATATAGTTGATTCACCTTGTTGTGTTTTTAAAGTTAGCGTCCTCAATATGAAGTCCACAGAGTGCCGGTAGGGGCAAATACTTGAACAAAACGTCATTTTATTGATTTATCAAGTAATATCCATCTAATTTTGGCTTACACACAAGCAACCACGTTCGATTCTGGATTGTTTTTTCAAGCAGAGACAGAGAGAGATTCCAGCTGTCTCCCAGCAAAAAGTCATATTAGAGCCAGCCAGCTGTTTTAACACAGCAGGTGGAGCCTCCTCATTAATACCTCTGGCAAACTGTTTCCTATCTGCATCTTTTAGAGCCCCAAATCCACTCGCGCTGAATGCAATTAATTTCTGTAATGACTGCGCCAGGAATACCTTTCGATCATTTATTCATAGCCGAGCATAAGGAATCATTTTAAGACACGGCGGCACACCGGGCAGCCTTGACAGACACACATCCCTCCCTAGCTTGAGTTTAATTACACGTATTGCTAATTTGGATGGAAATCTGGTATCTGACTCATCGGTACGTCTTGGCTCTTACCGAACATATGGATGCCTGATAAAAACATGGCACGGGCAAATGCATTTTGAACATGTCAAATCAAGTTACCGATGTTATTTAAAGGGAGCAGTTTGAGCTAATGATGATGAGTGGTGGAGGACAGGGGACCCCAACTTTGCTCGCGGGGTAACAGTGACTCTAGCTGTGTCACACTGTATTCTGATGTGCAGCGTCGTAAACTGAACCCCGACTTCACTCAGCAGATTTCCAGATAGAGAATCACAATATCTCCTTCAACAGAGCAGGTCTAAATGCTGGCATGTCTCTCATCACAGCTGCTGCTCACTCATGAAAACCCATCCTGTAAAGCTTTCTACACACTGTCCCTGAAGGCCACACACAGACTATATCCCAGTGTAATGCTTGATTTCCATGATTTCCTGAGAATGGCCCACTGTGTAGGTCCTTTCTTTTAAACAACTGAGGCCATAGAAGTAATCATAACACCTAATTTCTCATTTTAAATGGGTGTGTACAGAAGCATTTTCTTAGTCCAGACAATGCCAAAGCTGTGAGTTTTGACAGAAAATGTATTCAATTTGTTGCAATCTATATAGGGTAACCAAACTTCCTCTTTTGCCCGGACATGTCCACCTTTTGCATCCTGTCCAGGGCGTCCGCAGGGGGACTATAAATTCCTGAAACTGTCTGGTTTTCACTGTTTTTCATGGGACCATAATCGTATGCTTAAATCGACTGGCGCTTTGCACAGAATATTACGGTACTTCGTTGCCCAACTTAATTCTCGAGGAACTGCCTCGTGGGAGGGTCAAGCCAGACATACACACACAAACACACACTGAAACACACACATATATATATATACAACTTATGACAACTTACGTTGCGGGTTGCGTTCAAAGTCGAACTTTGTGGTTCCCCTTTAACCTCAAAGTTGCAAAATGCTTGAATATGGTTTAAATCGACTTAGGGAGGGAGTTCTTCCACTATGTTCATTTTAACAACTTTTCACACTGAAAAGGCCTTTTGTGAGCAGACTCAATATACTGTAATGTTAGAAGTCCACGCGAGTTTTTGCCATGGACCTTTGTCGATAAAAAAAAAAAGCATACCTGGTTGAAACGGGGTTGACCATACTGGAAGGTGGGGTATTCAGACATACTGCAAAAGTAAAGTAAAACAGTACAAACTGGCACACTTCTCTGTGTTTGTTTTAACTTTCTTCTGCAGCTGTATATCCGATCGCCAATCAGTGAACTGTCCCTGGTCGGGCTGCATTATGGGTACCGTAGTTTTTCAAAACCGTTTACCGTTGACAGTTGGTCGATCGCGTTGTTATGATCGACTACATTTCCCAGCAAAATGTGACTCGTCAGTGTTTCGGAAGAGAGTTGAACGGAGAAAATATATGGGCTGAAAATCACAATAACTCCTGCAAAGTTATGACATAACACCGTGCTGAATAATGCTTGAACTTCCAAGAGGAAAACATAGCCCCCTGGTGGTGGTTTAGCACTAATGTCAGCAGTGGTTTGGACGGTGCAACGTTCAATTTGAAAGATAAACAAATCAAATCGTTAATGTGAAGTTTACAGCCCTGGGTAGGTATCCTGCAATAGCAAATCTTTTAGTAGGTGAAAATGTATCTTTGTTTTGTTTTCAGAAGGAAAAATACAACTTATCAGTTCACATCATGTTCACTAATGAGATAGGAAATACAACAGAAAAAAATATGAGAGTAAGCTAAATATGAACCAACACTGATAAAAATAAAAAAGACTACCCCCTGTGACTGATAAAATAGAAACAAAGAAAGAAAAAGAAACCACACATACGGTGAGCAGGAAACACAAAATACTCTTTATTAAATATACAAAATTTGTGAAACAGAATTGCATCACGGATTGTAAACGTTCCAATCCTACATACCATCTTGAGCACATTCCACCAGCTACAAAACACAATTGGTTCGAAGTTAAATTAAAACCGTGTGGAATGGAAGACATGTGAGAAGATGTTTGTTCTGGCAATTTGCAAGTGCCGAGTCATATTCGATTATGCTTCTACTTATCTATGCCCTTGGTACTTTTAATCGCGGAGCAGAACTGAGGTGAAAATGTGGTTTTTGACGTTTTTATGCTTTGAACTAACAAATCATGGCTGTGGTCTCTAAAAGAAGGCCAGGTGCTTAATCACAGAGCGATTAGAAAGTGCAGTACAGTGTACAGTCGATCTAACTATACCAATATCACACAGAAAGGTACAGTTGAGTTTTTCTTGTGACGATTAAGTAGTGCAAGAACATCCACAAATGCTCTTAAAAGTGGCATCATACTTTAAGGGTGTCTCAATCAGCTCTATAGATTAAGTTTCAAGGCTTTTTTTATTACTTTTTCTGTTTGCTCTTTTTTTTGGCATTTCACGGTAAAACACTGTTCTTATTCATTTTCTATTGGTATGCATACAATTTGTTCCTGTGCAGTGATCTAAACAATATAAGAAAGCATCAAAGGAATACAACAACAAAAAAAAACTTCCAGTGAGCAGATGGCTTTTCTGTTTCAAGCCCCAAGCCCCGACAAGTAAAATGAAGTGCTAGGGTCTCAACGAATGTCAAAAATAGAACAGAAATAAGGCAGCGTTTGGCATTTCAATACGGCAATATCTGCTGTAAAATGCGGCACGTATCCCTTTTGTGACACCTGAAAGCATCTTGCGTGCTGAAGCAGAAGCAGATGTGACACGCTCAGACACTGAGGGAGGGAAGTCAAGTACCGGCATGTCGCAGGCATCCTCTCTCTCATCGCGCCGGAGCCGTGTCAACAACGCGCATGTTGGGAAGGAGGAAGCATGAAGATCAGAGCGGCTGCCGCGTCTGATCTCTACTGAGTGATACTGTCTTCACCTGATAACACCGTGACCCATACGAGAATCGTTTAGCTTATGTGACTGAGCTCTTCTGGATGTTTTCAAGATAAGCCCGTAGAAGGAAGCAAATACAGAAAGGAAAAAAAAAACAAAAAAAGGAGGAAAAGAAGGAGCAAGCAAAAAAAAAAAAAAAAAGAAACAGCAATTATAATGCGCTATTAGAAAAATAAAGACCCACCCGCTTGTTGGCTAAGAACACTTTTGAACATTCATGAGCTACAATCGGTTCCCGGGCAATGTGCACGTGACGAGGCTGAGGCTCTCGCGCCTCTCATTTGGTTTTCAACAGCCCGGTATCGGTAAAGGGGGAAACGTTTGCAGTGTCAACCCAGAACGGCCTCTGAGAAGCATCCGCGGGAAGGGACGCCAATCAAACGTTTAAGGGGCACTGTGCGTTTCCCCGTTGAAACTTAAACTGACTTCCACGTGAATTTTAAAAAGGTCTCAAACATACTTGATAAGATTTTGCTCTGATTTCAATCTCGTCTATGCCTAGACCTGCTGGAAGCACTTGGCTGCCTTTTGTCTTTTGGTGGTGTTGTGGGCAGAGCTTGCCTTTGAGGGTATCCCCTGTGCCCAAAAAATCAGTAATTTGCCAGTGCTTCAAAAATTTCCGGACTTGCAGCTTTTTTTTCTTTTGCCAAATAAAGCAATTTCAGTGTCTTTTGGTTTTTGAACACGTTTGGACACAATAGGCATTTTTCAAAAGCATCCCGGAGCACAAAGTCAAATTTTCTGCCTTGAATGGAGGGGAAATCAATCTTGAGACCTAATGTATGCCTTCAAGGTTTTTTTGACCGAGTGAGTTGGATAAGCTGGTTGTCATGGACCGAAACTTTGCATTCGACTTTCTCTCTCGTGACGAGGTGACAAATGTGAAACGTGAGCTTGAAAAGGAGGACTCTTCTTGTGTTTCCACGACCAGGATCCCAGACGTGGAAGCGCCTTGGGGCCGTAACCTGTCCCCCCCCCGGCGTCGCGGAACCTGAAAACAACCTGAGAACGCGCTACATTCAAAAACCACTCGTCCCGAACCCCGCCGCCGAGGACGCGTTTCAGAGAAGTTAAAGCATGCCGGCCTGAAAACGTCGCCTCGACACCTCTCGGTGCCTTAATGTCGGTATCAAAAAGGACAGCATAGCAGTGAAAAGACTAAAGAGCTGTTGTGGAGGTTAGAGTGAACAGATGCGGGCGACTTTGTCACTTCAACTTGGAGCGCACTTGCAGGAGGGTGGGCTTCTGCTCCATGATGCGCACCAGCAGCGTGTCGATGTAGTCCTCCAGGTCCCGGACCTGCGGCTTCAGCTTCTTCAGCTCCACCTCCCGCTTGGCCAGCAACAGTTTCTGACGCTGGAACTCCGCCCGCTGCCTCTCCAGCTCCGCCTCGCGCTCCACCAGCAGGGCCACCAGCTCGCTGTGAGTCAGGTGGTAGTATGAGCCCGCTCCCTCCGTCAGAGACTGGGAGGAAGATGGATGACAGAAAGAAAAACAAAACAAAATGTAATGTCTTTTTTGTTTTCTATTTCTTTAGCTTTTTCGAAAGATTTGGATATTAACAGATTATCCCCGATGTGTGCTCTCCTAAATCACCAAACAGCCCTTGCTCGAGTGGACAAACCATACCTTCCTTCTGTCCGTCCCTTGGTCTGTGATCTGGCTGCTCTTCCCCGGGTGGATGCTGGATTTGAGCTTCTCCAAGCCAGTGGCAAGCACTGAGCGCTTCTCCTCGGCCAGTGTGGCAGTTGTCAGGGGCTTCACCGGGTGGGGGCTGGACGGGATGACAACAATAGATACAGACAAATAACCCAGTCAGTCAGCTGACTTCAATTCTCTGCTCACGACTTCTGGCTGATGGGAGGAATCAAGTCTGGATGCAATACTGGAGATCTCCCGCTCTTCAACATCTGTAGCTAACAGTCAATTCATTTAACCCATAATATTTCAATTTTGTGTATGAAAAGACATAACTACATCTAATTGAAGAGGAATTTAAGCTTCCTAAATAAATGTCTAAAATATTTCCCTTCCATTTCAACCGACATGTAAAAGCACCAGAGTCTATTCAGATATTTTTTTCCATGTTAATTGAGACATGGTCTTAAGCCATTAACACATAACATTGTTTTCATTAGCCTTGAGGGCTAAGGCAATTGAAGAAAACTGATAAATAAAGTTAAGGCTTTCAATTTCAAGAATTTCAAGAATCCACAGGACGAGCCAGAACCAGCCCAGTCCACGTTTTCTCTGTTTTATGTATGTCTCTGTGGATGGGTAATCCTTGAGGTGCTGTTCTTAAGAAAATGTAAACAAGGTTAAAAGGGCTGATGTATGCTAAATAACCCAAAAAGGGGAGTGAAAATCAGGGTTACAGGTCTCATGGTGTGACAAAGATGTCATATCTACATTTTTGTTTGCATATCTTTCAATCAATCTGTGCACCTACTTTTTATTTTGCCAGCATCAAACAAAACAAAAAGCTGTAAAAGGTCCTAAAGTTTGAATTGTAAATCCTGCTTTCATTCGGTGTAACGGGTTGCATGTGTCTAATCAATTTACTCAATTCAATTTGTTTTCTGAGTTGTTAAAGTGTTTTGGGACTTGTTTATTTGTTATTGTTTTTTTATGTTTACTCCCAAAATGTACATTTGTTTCGAGCTTTGGAAAAGTGCTTCAGAATTTGAACCTAAATCCTCAATGTTAAATCCTCTTCTAGCATATTGCACTCAAGGTAAGGCAAGTGTGTAGCTGGTGTTGTAGCTTAAACCCTCTTTTTGTAAGTCGCTTTGGGTAAAAGCGTCTGCTAAAAGCATATGTGTAAATGTAAATTAATTTGTAATGCTGCTTTGCATATCCTGGCCGTCGTAATCAGAAATGAACGCATAAGCGGGCTGCAATATTAACATTACACCCCCCCAGCAGGGGGTGTGTAACTTCCCTTTTGACTTTTCAGTGTTGATTTTATCGATTTTTTTATGACGCTCTTGGTTTAGGCCAGGGCCTCACGTCCCGACCGCAATACCCTAGCTGTGGTTTTCTTTTTTCTTTGTCGCATTTGTAGAATTAAAGCTCCACCCCATATTTGCAATGTATTAGAGTTCTTCTGTTTATATCCTGTTGATCTGGCAGCACCTTCTGGGCTGGGTGATAAAAAGTGCTCCTACTTGTGAAATCCTCTGGTAACAAACATACTACAGAGGCAAGTATGTGAGCGGTTACACTGGTAAAGGAGGCAGTTGCTAACGGGGGAAAAAACATCCCCACAACAAAAGAACTCTCATTCTGAACAATAGCTTCCCTTAGAAACAAAGCTTGTATTTGGAAACTGCAGCTTCCTTTTCGGAATTTAGCTAGAAAAATAATACATAAGAATCCTAGCTCTCCAATACCTCTACTTTAAAAAAAATCTTCTGAGACAACAGCTCAACAATAGTACAGGAAGGAGAATTTCCTGTGTCTATGACCTACATTTACACTAAACCAGAGTCACACTCCCTAAATAAGTCTCTTTTGCCCTGCTATAGCAGGTTTTGAGATTGTCTGAGCACGAGAGATTGTTCTCCAGACCCCCAATATGACACCAGACACAAAGAAACATGTCGAAATTCAAAATAACACTTCATTGATCAAGATCAGAGGAGGTTTGACAGGTGTAAGATTCCTCAGAAAAAACTGGAGGGAATTTGGATGAAAATGATCTGAGAGCCGAGACTTAATTGAATGCATAGGTGCAATCAAACATGTAGAACTGTGTTAAGTGCGTTATTACCCCAGGTGAAAAGGAAATGACAAAACAACACCTCTTTTTGCCTCATGAAAAAGAAAAAAAAAAGGAGCCAGATTTCTGGTTGATTTATTGGCAAATTAATATTGCTGTGTGAGAATACTGGCTGGCTCTGTGGGGAGGGAATTAGTTCTGTGTGTATGTTTGTGTGTGTTGAGGGGGGGTGGGATGGCAGGGCTGGGGCAAAATAATAACTGCTAATTGGCCTGAGGCTTTGTTTCCCCTCCTGTTACCACAGCCAGGACACACACACACACACACACACACACACACACACACACACACACAGAACCGGCAGAGGACTCCTGTTAACACCAGTATGAGTGAGTGAGTGTGTGTGTGTGTGCGCACGCTTTAACAAAGTGATGAAAATTAGAAGGTCACACCACAAAGGAGAATACCCCAGAGAGTCGGCGAGGAAAAGAAGCAGGCGGAAGCAGAGCTGCAGGAGACCGAAGAGACGACAGGATAGAAATTCCTCTCCACCTTTTCACCAGCACTGAGCATGTGCAGCCTCACCTGTTCTGCTGTTCCACTTCCCGCGGCCCTTTATCCTCTGGCACCGGCTTTGGTCCGGTACCTTGCGCTGTGCTGGGCGGCAATGGGGCTGAAAGGTTGAAAAGGGGAGGGAGGGCACAGAGCGCTACGGGAGAGGAGCTGCCGCTTTCAGGAGTTAGAGAGGGAGCAAAGGAGATTGGCGAGAGGAATTGGGGGCCGAGCAGGGCCGAGGAAGACCCCTGTATCGCGCCGGGGTCGCTCCCGAAAGACGGCGCGAGCGGTTCGTCAAAAGGTGGCGCAAGGTTGCCCTCAGACTGGGAGCGGTGGAGTGCAGGGTTTTGTTCCTCATGCCATTTTGAGAATAGGTCTCCTAAAACCTCGGGGCCTGGTAATGCTAGAGAGGTCACCAACGATCCGTCTCTTGGCTCAGAAATTGCCATCTTGTCCTGAGGCCTAAAGAAGGACTCCTCCAAACTTCTGCTTTGGTCGAGCTCTTTATTACCTGGTGTGGATGTATTTCCAGGATGCGTTCCAGCAGCATCGGTGCTCACTTGAATGTTGCTCTCGTCGCCGCAGAGCGTCGAGTTGGCGGAGTGCAGGGTGTCCGTCAGTTCGGAGTCGCTGGAAGGTTTGGAAGATGGGTGAGAGAAGCAGCTTTGGTAATCCTGCGAGTTGGCGCTGACGTAAAAGCTTTGGAGAAAGCTGCTGCCGCTCCGATCGGACACCTGCGCGGGCAACAAACTGCTGTCCAATTCTTGGCCGGGACTATTCGCAATGTGACTAATGTTGTGGAAATCAGCGAAAAGGTTGAATGGTACGCTGGAGTCTTGGTTGACTTCCCGCTCTCCTGTACTAGGGTCGTTGATGGACGCAGCCAACAAATCCTGCTTGACGTCAGGGGATGAAGTTGTGATGTGAAATGTTGGCAGTGTGGAGGTGATTTCATCATCTGGACAGCCCGGGATCAAATTTGTAGTTTTGTTCACGGGGCAGTCACCGAGCTCCTCGGGAGAAACCGCCGTAGAAACATTGAGTGCCTCTATCCCTTCATCGCTACTGGCATCATTCAATGGCGTTTCAGAGACTTTTGGCAGCAGGTCGGGGTACAAATTCGAAAAGCTTGTGGTCTGAGCAGCTTCACTTTGACTTCCCGTCTCTTGCAACTGTGGTGTTAGGGAACCCTCAGAACTGCTCTCATATAACGTTTCACCGTCTTCGTGTTGAATTCCAGCTCGCTGTGCATTATCTACTAAACCCTCAGCAATGCCACCTTTAAACTCAGGGAGGTTCATGTTTTTTATCACAGTCAGCTCGGGGGAACTCTCAAGACAGATAATGCTGGTTTCAGCTTCCTCAGAGGAGGACCCGGAGAATTTCTCAGAGTGGGAGGAGAAACAGGAGAGGCCATCTTCCTCTGCCGAACTGCCGAGGCCAGAGGTAGTAGGATCTGGAGAGATGTTCGTGAGTTGAGTTGATAAGGTGTGAAAGGTAGCCGCATCAGTGTTAGCGTCAGCCAAGTCATTAGTAGTGTTGTTGTTCTGTTCGGGTTCAGTGCAAGCTTGTGCATTTGGGGGGTTAGTCAGAGTGTTTAAAACGAGGTTGTCAATCTCAAAGCTTCTGTGCTCTGGGATTGTTTCAAGGAATGGCGGAAAAGTGTCAAAGTGATGTGCGTTAGTGTTGGGATTCTGGCTGGTGACTTGATACGGCTTCTCAAACCTTGTCCCCAGCTGGTGATGTGGGGAGTCATAAATGTTTGTGATTCCATCAGCATCTTTGACGGGCGGTAACGCCTCATTATTGCAGGGTTCCGGTGGATGGTCACCGAGCATGTTTTGCTGCGCTCTGTATTCTGTGGCGAGGTCCTCAGGAGACTGCAGCCTGCCAGCTGCGAACGCTTCAAAGGATTCATCCCACTCTGAATCCAGATCGTGCTTCCCGACTGACATAAAAGGGTTGGACGGCTTCTTGATAACATTTTTCTGCCCCTCTGTGGGAGTTGGAGGAAGAGGTCTTCTCGCTACGTTGGACGGCGTTTCACTATTTGCAATAGCGCCAGCGATGGAGCCCTCTGTGTGTGGACTGTCGTGGGTCGAGTCGGAGACAGGCGGACGCGGCTGAGGAAACAGTTGAGTTATGGGGGGTCGGGAGCTGGAAAGATAGGGCAAAGGAGGCGGTGAAGGTTTTACGGCTTTAGGAGAAAGCATGTCCTCATAGAAAGGGTTTTGCTGCAGGAGAGAGAAGAAAGGGTTGCACGGGGAAATGGGAGGTGGACTGGTCTGTGAGTGGCAAAAGGGGTTAGAATGGTGCAATGTAGAAACTACAGAGGCAGAATGTACAGGGGGACCCAAGGGATGGTGGATAGGTGGAAGAGGTGGTGGGTGGGGATCAGTGCAGGGCTCTACTTTAGGTGACACCACCAGGCTGTGAAAGGAAGGGCACACAGTCCTCTTGATTAGTTTGGTTTGTTCACACAGCCTGACTAGAAACCTACAGAGGCTGTTCTGTGTCAAATCACATCTTAAAGCACATTAAGCAGAATAATCATCATAAATTACCGTTAGTCACACTTTGAGACCCAGTAAAAATGTGTAACCATCCGTTCCTCTGCATAATAAAGGGAGGCCATGCTGAAATATCCTCTCTTTCTCATTTGGCTCAGTTCATTTTTGGGCCTTTGGGTATGCAGGTACCATTTCTGTTTAGGTGAGTAAATCTAATAGGGTTGTCAAAAGTATCAATACTCAAAATAGTATCAATACTAAAATGTCGTATCCGGATACGATACTCATTTTCAAAAGTATCGATACTACCGCGCGAGCGCGTGCGACGCTGACCTGCCGTCGCTGCCCCCCTTCTCTCAGATTTATTTATGCATTTTTTTACGTTGTTTATGGTCATTAACAAGTTTTTAGCCTTGAACTGCTAGCTTCGGCTAATGGCTAATAATAACGTGCTACCATTAATCAAGTACATATCCGACTCCGCCCACATCGAAGTCGGCCATTATAGTTACATTAACAATAGGAAGATTCCAGGCAAGAAAATCCTAATTGCCTCATGGCAATATAGAGATTCATTTAAAAATTGTGAAATTAATCTTTCAAACACTTAATTAAACTCTATACATATTATTATGTTAAAATAGTGTATGTTAAATAGGTTTGTACAATAAGTCCAAACAATTTTAACCAAAAAATATTTATTTCTCACAATTATGAAGGGTGGAGGGTTAGGGTTAGGATTAGGGTTAAAGTTAGGGTCTTTAATACGGGCCACCAGTCACAATAACATTAGTAACAGGTCAGTTTGAAATGACAGACACAAACCTGTCAAAATTCATTTAAATTTTGGGTTCTTTTTTTAATCCTTGTAGTATCAAAAATGGTATCGAGTATCGAGTATTTTCCTGAGTATCGGTATCGAGTTGAAAATTTTAGTATCGTGACAACCCTAAAATCTAACCATTTGATTTTTTTTTTTTAAGTGCAGTTCTTTTTAACCATATGTCTTTGTTTTGTTACGGAATGCAGTTTTTTTTCCAAATAAATGTGAAAATATTGGAAAAAAAATTCTGGTTTTAAATCAGGTTTACACATTCCCAAAATCCAGCATATATAAAAAAGACAGAGTGCCTTTGAACGGAGGAACCTTTTCATAGTTTGGATAACTATTGGATGAAGCCTCCCTTCCCCTTATGCCTGACACATACAAGTTATGGCTATGGCAACACTGGAGCAATTATCTCTGCAGTGAATATTATTTATTGTCCGTCATGGAACTCCATTGTTCCAATTGCCTTTGTAGAACATCCGGAATTGTGCGGCCTAATATTTGACCGTCAAGGTACATTAAATGCAGCATTACTCATCAGCAAAGTTTGGCAAGTTGTAAAGGCACTCACTCTCACAGAGGAAGTTCGTATTACATTAATCTTATATTTATCTTTAAATCAGTACCTTATATTACAGTAAATGTAGATTTAGGTCTGTCTTTGCTCCATTTACACCTGCAGCTCATCACATTTCCCCTAACTGTTGCTTTGTGCTAGACAGATAGCGTTAAGAAATTCTACAAGTGAAAAATATCAAAGGGTAGCAACAAAATCCAGAATCATCCCAACCTGAAACCAAGTGTATGTTAAAGGAGTTGAATTTTAGAATTAACTGGTGTACAAATAGCAACTGAGACGTAGCATTTTTGTTCAAATCGTTCACATTTTCAAGTCTTTCAAAGTCCTTTTTTTCCTTTCTCTATCTGCTTTGTCTGTGAAATCATGTGACATCATTGGCTAATGGTGTCATATTTTGCTGGGTGCGTTGGTGTAGGTATTTGTAGTGATTACAGAGTGCTACCTGTGCCAACTTGGCACTCCGGCCCCAAGTATCTAAAAGCATGTGTAGGCTGTGAAAATGTATATTTACAGAGCTGGGGACAGAGGGATTGTGTATATAATGGGCAAAAATAGATGACCTCCCTCCAATCAGCAGGTGCTTCTCAATCCAACACTCTGTTTACACTCTGTGAGGTAAAGAAATGTAAAAAATAAATGTTAAAAGCAGCTGTGTGGGGACCGTCTGAGACCCAAAGAAATGATATGTATAAAATCTAATAAGCAGAAAAGGAGTGTTCCACCTCAGGGGAGCGGTACAGGAGAAAGTACAGTACAGCAGATGACCTCCCCCGGAACGAATCTCTCGTTCGAGTATGTGCTTATGTTCCAAGTAGATCGAATAGCATGGGAGTTTCTCCCCTCTTTTCTCCCGGTCCACACAAATGTCCATCTCTCACCATCATCCTTCAAATGAAATTGGCATCATAACTCAACCATGCAACAGCAAGCATGAGGCTAATTTCTACAGAGCGGCTCCCCCTCCTCCATCTGCATTGCAGATACCTGCTGTAACCAGAGACTGAGGCCAGCAGAGATGTGCACGGAGCCCGAGGCTGTGATGCCGGCGCACAGGAAGTAAGCGACTACTCTGAAACCTAGCCGGATTGTATACATCTACAAGTGTTTACTCCACTTGAAGCCTCCGGATTCAGCAGCCTGCAACACTCCATGTACTGCTACACCTGAATAATCGATAGATAAACCCCAGTAATAGAGCGGGCCCTAAAAAGAAGCTCCAGCTGATTGGTTCGTTCAAATATTCTTCACAAAGATCACTAAAAGCTTCATGTCTGTGTGTTAGGTAAGCTGAGGCCAGAACAAGGAGGCAATTAGCTTGGCGTACAGACCGGTATTGCTGGTCTGGTTATTATAAAAGGTCAAAAGAAAAAAAATAAATAAATCACACCAAGGAACTTGTTTAATATGTACACAAAGAGGTATAGTTTAGGAGGGCCAATGTGCGTTGCACTGAGGTTGTCAGGTTTGGAAGTATCTTTGAACCTTCAAAATACTTATGGTGCTTCCTTAATAGTATAAAACAGATATTAATAACAGCAGAGATTACATTAAAAACTCAACAAAAAGGAAGCTCAAAGGAAGTTTTTTATCCTATCTAATCCAGCCTAGATTTTCTGTCGTGCCCACCATCTTTTTTTTTTTAAATGTAAAAGAAAATACAGAAGTTTAAGAAGCCAGTGCGGTTAGACAGCTCCTTTCATAACCTCAGGTGGATGAAATATGTTCTAAGAAGTGCAGCTACTCGTGCTCGGGGCGGCCGCTTTTGACCTTCTTTATTCAGAGTACAATCGAGCTGAAATGATGAATCGCCACCCGTTTTGTGCATTAACAAATGGAGCTGTCAGAGTGCCATTAGTGTGCAATGTGATCACAGAGTGCATCTCACCTGGGCTTGCTGTGCGCGTCCTTTGATCCAAACCAGCCCTTGTGTTTCTCCTCAGTGACAGACTGGACCTGTTCAGACTCGTCCTTGGGCTGACTCTGACCCTTCCCTGCAGACTCGCTCCGCCCGTGCGAGAAAAAGTTCCTCCTCTGCTTTCTCCCCGGGATCTCCAACTCCGCCTTGGAGGCGGAGGACGGCGGGGCCACTTCTGACGACGGCTCCTCCTCCTCCTCACCCAGCATGGGCCCGCTTTTCTCTAGGGCCGCGGCAATGGCAGCTTTCTCCTCCTCGCCGGGTCGGTCAAAAGACCAGCGGCGCCCATCTCCAACGGGGCTTACGGGGAGTTCGGCGAACGGCCGTGTGCTGAGATTCTGGAGCGACACGGAGAGGGGGAGGGTCTTCTGCAGCGGTGCCAACCCTGTAGAAGCTGCAGGTTTCCCTGAGCCTGGGTCCGAGGGCTGGACTTTGTAAGAATGGCTTCCGTTAACGCAGACAGTGGGCAGAGGCACTGCGATGGTGATCTCTCCGGCCTCATCCCCGAACTCACATCTGAGAGAGGACGACTTGGGCGACGTGTTTGCCGTGTGATCTGCAAATGTGAGACAAGAAAAAAAAAAAGAAGAGACACAGGTGATCAGCAGTTTATCCAATCGTTCAAGCCGATCAGTTGAATAACACTAGATTATTTTCAGGTATGGAATTTTCCCGGACGGCCTGGTGGTGTGGTTAGCACCATCGCCTCTCGGTAGGAGTAAGTTTTCGCAAGTGGTCCAAGTCCCCGGGGAACCGGAACCTTTCTGTGTGGAGTTTGCAAGTACCTCGAGTACCTCCGGGTACTCTGGCTCCCTCCCACCGTTCAAATAAATGCCTGTTAGGTTAAATGGACACTCTAAATTGCTAATTGGAGTGAATATGAGTATGCGTGGTTGTGAGTCTCTGTGTGGCCCTGCGATGGACTGGCGATCTGTCCAGGGTGTATCCCGCCTCTCACCCATTGCCAGCTGGGATAAGCTCCAGTAACCTCACGACCCAGTTGAGAATAAACGGTATAGAAACTGGATGGATGGATGGAACTCTTCCTGTGCCCTCTTTTAATTTTTTTCCTCATCAAATCGTGAGAGATTGACATGACTACCTTTGAAAACCAAAGCTTTTTCCATCATAACCACCCCGAAAAAAATATCAAACTCCTTGGTGTGCGCCCACCATTAAACCCCACAATGGATGAATGCAGATTCCTCCTTACCGGACAACAGGCCAAGCTAACGGTCAAACTAACCTGGGCTGTTGTCGGCGGTCAGGTTGCTGCTGTTGCTGGGGGAGTTGGAGAGGTCAGACACCACCACGCTGATGCCGGCAGTGGGGCTGAGGCTCCCGCCCCGGGACGACGACTCGCTGCTCTCGGAGCCCAGGGAAGTGCTGGAGCGGGTGTCGGAGGACTTCCGCAGCTTGCCCCGGAAGAAGAAGGTCCTCATCTTGCTCCGCCGGGCTTCGCCCCCTTCGTCGTCCTCGTACTCCTCCTCTCCGCCTCCGTCACTTGGCAGTCTGTGACGTAGCCGGTAGAGGGACCCATACCCGCCCGGCATGACGACCGACGAGGAGTCATCGTCGCTGGACCTCCTCTTCCCCTTGATGCGCTCCTTCAGTTTGCTGAAGGTGGAGGCTCCCTTGTCCTTCATGACCAGGTCATACATGCTGGCCGTCAGGTTGTTCCGGGTGAACTGGATGGTGACTTGGATGTCTCCCCGCTCCTTCTCCTTCTTTCCCGTTTTAGAGTGGAGTCTATACCACCTGAAAAGGGAAAGAGGGGGTATAAACATGAGCCACACAATCACATAATCACATGTTCTTTCAATATTTCGAAAAGCTCTTGTTTTGCTTCAGTCGCATCATGAACAAACACACAAGCATCATTTACCCCTACCAATTTAGTGACAATCCCATCAACGTTCAGTTGAATGAATCAGGATAATCTGACCTGACAAACAGCATGAATGTTTGTGTCCTACTAATCCTACACGACACAACGTGTCCAGACACCCAACAGCAAACTCAACAAGGCCCCTCGTTTTCATCACGACACCATAAGCAAGAACAATAAAGGAATACAATACACATATATGATTTAATAAGCACGCGCCCTACATAGAGGTGGCTGAAAACAAGTTTGGCTAACTTTGGTTCGTGGAAACGCCGCGCAGTGGCGGGCAGAAGTCTGCCAACAAGTTCACCACATTGTGACTCAAATCAAAACTCATCTGTTCTCTTTTGACTGATTGATATAGATGTAGGATATAAAAAAAAGAAAAAGAAAAAAGAGAGATGACTGCAAAAAAGTCCCCCCCAGTAAAAATGCGTTCCTACAGTCCGCGGGAATTTTACAGCTCACTTCAAGTAAGACGGCGAAATTGACTTGAAACCAGTTTAGATTTTTCATTTCCTGTGCTGCTGGGCTATTTTCAGACCACATGACAACAGCATCTGTTTGATACTTGAGCGTTGTGCAACACGGTCTCGCCCTTTGTGACAACTTCACAACACTGAAGAGTAACTACAACCCCTCTGGTAATTCTAAAGTTTTTACATATGTGATGGAAGGACACATAGTAGAATACAAACTGGGAAAAATGGAAAATAAAAAGGAAAAATAAAAAGAATATTTCATTTCCTATTCAAATACCAACTCAATAATAGATGATTATTGTGGAAAAAAAGCAGCCCTTTTTCAATTTTAATGGTTTTCAGATTTGTTTGAACCCACTTCTACGGATGCCTTACATTTAAAAACCAAGATTTCAGGAATCAAACGTGGGGCCATTTGTTGGACAGCTAGAAATTAGCCCTAAAGTTGGTAATGCAGCTGCAGCAAAACTAGAACAAAGTGTCCGGAGAAATAAATAAAATAAAAATAAAGCTGTCACAGTGACTCAGCCCAAATTGGACCTCAACTGAAATACAGTGGCTGGACCTCAAAGGAGCTGTGCAGAAACAAATGGCCATTTTCCCTAATGAAACAAACTAACTCAAACTCTTTTGTGGCTGTACGGGCAACTTCATGTTTGCAAACTCATCAAACACTAATCACGGATGATGGTAGCTTATCCTACTAAAGAGTGAGTGGGCACTACATCGGGCGGCAGCTCATTCTTCTATTATAAAGTTTTAAGGGTAACCGAGGCATCATTATTAATTTTTTCTTGTTCTACTGACTACACTAGAAACAATAGTCTTCAAAGTTGAAAGGCTATGACATCAGAAGTAAACCGTAAAGACAGAGGAAATCCTTTTATGTAAAGGTTGTGTGATATTTGAAAAGCACCTCACACATTTCAGAAACACACGTTTCATCTCTTTCCACAGAGTTCCTTCCTTTTTTTCTATAAACCTAACAGTTTGACTGTGCAAAGCCCTGAAAGACAGAAAAAAGCAAGACATTCACCTCATGAAGATTTAGCTTGTACATTTGTTGATTGGAGCAGATACCAGTGCTTCTACCAAATTGTCATTTTAAAAATTCACCTATTTCTATTAAAAGTGCAACGTGGGATTTGTTCATAAATTTAGTTGCATTGCCGTGTTTTAAGAAAACCACACCTACATATAAGAAAGAATTGTTTTATCAAAACTAGTAACAAAGACAATAGTTTGTTTTCTGACAACATTCATGTAGGTTCATTTGGTAACAAGCTGATGCTTTGCAAGTCCTTCAATAAAAAAGCAAATATATCAGACTTTGATCAAGGTTGTCAGTCACTTTAAAACTCTGAGCCAAAAGCTGGCTGAGAATTTGAAAAGAAGTTGAAAAGTTAAAAATTTCAAGTGGGGCCTGCATTGTGTGAAAGACTGCACACGCTCATATCTCAAGGATGTGTCTCAACATGAAATTGCAAAAACCCTCGGAAGTTTCATCATAAAAAGGATGCGATATCACAAGAAGATGCACATGTATCCTCAAATGTTTGGTCTAATATCAGCCTGTAATTCAAAAGTCAGAGTCTGTGATGGGGTGTGGACTAAAAATATTACGATCATCATTAATCTTTAATCAGATATCTAATTTTAAGCTTCCTGGTAGCGATAGACCTGGACTAGCCGCCCGGTAAATCGAATAAAGATCAGCCGAGCAGTCGTCCACGCCTTCTGATCTGGACGTCCTGTTCAGCTCCAATATGATTACAGAGGAAAAGAGGCTGGAAAGTTCCCCGCCGGAGCATGAAAACACCGCACAGGCTGTTATGCAATTCTCATCATCCTGCTGCTGGCCTGACGCTCGGCCCTGAAAACATGGCAACACCCCGGAGGAATGCCAGTGGAAACAATAAGCAAACAAACAACCTCTCCGCCCGCACCACTCCGAGAAGCACACTGTAATGGGCAGGTGGAGCCCGGGCAGATGGAGGAGAGAGGAATGCTGCTTTTTATAGCTGCGCAGAAACAACAAACATCCAGTCTCCTAAACTGAGAAAGGGGCGCTTGCTTCCTGAGATCCAGGAATCATTCAGAAAGATTTAGAAAAACACTGATGGCTGCAAGTGGGGTTGGGGGAGTGGCACGGTTTAAATGCTGGAGTATTGCATTTTTGTTTAACAAATGAACTGCACGGGGGGGCTGATAGTGGACGTTCGTCCTGAAGGACTGGAGCACTGGATAAAGTCCTATAAGCGAAAGACGAAATAACAAGGTAATAGCTCCGAATTGGATGTTTTCTTAAAGCTGTGGAGGCGTTTCCGGCAGCGGGGCGGGTCGTCTCGTGGGCTCTGGCGCTTCCTAGAGCTAAGTGTGGACTCGAGTTTCATATTGACAATAGTATCAGCCCTCCACCCGACACATCAGCCAACTCCCTGTAGCGCAAGGTGGGGTTTGCATTCCAAATCCAGGACCGGGCGACTATGTTGGGGTATTCCCTTACAGATGAACAAAAATGCTTACTACTACAAGCCGAATCACGTGACCTGGCCGAGCAAAGATAAGAATTCATTTAAATGTGCCTAAAAGGTCTCCCAGTGTATGCTTTCTTGTTTTTTTCAGCAAGGCCAAAGAACCTTTTCAGACATGGATTTCATGCATAGCCTCCGTTTATTAGAAATAGTTCAAAAGAGGAAGAAGTTTTGTGAGGCGTGGAAAGGTTTTTTTTTTATAGATATACAAACCATCTGCTGCAGAAGATGATGCACACAAGGCCTATTTATGTACGCGCACCTGTGGGTCATGTGCCGTTTGAATAAGCTTGACGATAACAAATGCGAGCGTAAGATAGCCGACGAGAAGGCCAATTAAAGAAACTGCAACACAGACAAAAGCGTCAGCCTACTTTTTAGAGCCCACATAGCCAAGCCGAGCACAGTCTGTCTGTGAAAAGGACCCAGTTTTCCCCAAAAGCGGCCTAAAAAGTCGATGGGAAACTTGTGGGAAGCTCTGTGGTACAACAATGTATAAAGACAAAATGTTCTTCCTGCTTTTTTCCTTTTTTTAGTGGAAACTATTGCACAGATTTAGACAGTCGTAAACATGTCATTCCTGAGCTGCAGAGCATGACTGTATATCTGCTTCCCAAATCTTAAAGAAAAAAGAAGACAGGAAATCGTGTCACTCCACCCCATCTCAGCATGAGACACCGTCTCCTCATCTCCCTCTTTCCTTGAGCCACTAAAGAGCAGCCAGGGGGAAAAGAAAAGAAAAACCCGGCCGGAAATTGACGCTTTGCTGCAAAACACCGTGTACCTCGGCCCACCTCAGGGCAACTGAAGGCGGAAAAGCTTCCAGAACAAGTGGGCCACCGGCCTGTTTTTATCAAGCATAAGCCCGGCCTCAGCGGGGACCCGGTGGGCCTCAGTTGTATCAGAGCCAGAGACGAGACCAAAATAAAACTCGTTGCAGGGGTGTGTGAGCACTGTGGGTTTTAGAAGTGTTCTTTTTCTAACACAGTATCTAGCAGCTCAACATTGTCTAAATCTGACTTAGGCCTGAGCCACCGCAAACACTTGACTCATGCTTCTTGTTAGACCGGTAAGGAGTTTTAGCCTATAACCACACGGGCAAAAACTAGCTTGCCTTTGACATCCAGACCCGTCAAAACAAACTAAATCTTTCCTTAAGGTGGACTAACACAGCAGAATTAGACAAGAGGGCGAGTCAAAACTTCCTAGCGTTTAAACCTTTGACAGGACTCGTGCTGCTGGAGGTCTGACCTCGTTTGTGACGCGAAAATATCGTCTGGGGAAAGCCCGACGCAGCAAGGCTGAGGGGAGAACACACCGATAGCCATAAAAGCCGTAAATATGGATATGCTTCCATCAATGAATTGATCCCCCTCTTTGCATATGCTGGGACAAGGACGATAATTAGATGGTCACGTCTATCTATAACCAAAGCTTGGCTTAATTGTGCGTGTCAACGTGCTGAATGATTCAGCAGAAATGCCAACAGGAAGGATGGATGAAGGGGGCGGGATATGCAAAAAGTAGAGAAGATGAACACGGCAGGGATCCCTTTAAATAAAAATAACTTTTAGAAAAAAAACATGCCGGTGGTACGACCAAGAGGACACTTGGAGTTACGTCAGTTTCAGTGAATCGGGCCAAAATAAAGATAATGAGTTGCTGTGGGTAGCCCTGGTGGTCACGTGGCTTGGATTCCTGCACCATCAGCAGAAGCAGCAGACCCGGCCGCAAGACCCCGCACCACATTCCACATCTGGATGTGATGATCTCCAAGCTCACCACCTACTTTCCCTCCTAATGCTTTCACACAGCGAAGCCCATACAGTCAGGCACACATGAAGTTATCAGTGGGGAATAATCCCAGAAACTGCAACATTTTGTTATAGTTAAATATTTATGCAGCCCAGTTTCACATCTGAAATGGCTCAAAATGTAGGTGCAATGTCAAGAACTTTCACTGGCCAGTTGTGATACTAGCTGCTGCCATTTAAAATAAAATAAAAACTGCTGTCATAGTGAAAATTTGCTGACAAGTTATTTGCAGTTTAAAATCCACTGAAGCAAAGCAGAGAGCTCAAAAGCGTTTTGCCTTCGCAAAGGCGAACTAAAGAAGTGCCAGTGAGCGCCAGCACATTTCGGCCCAAAATCGCAGGTGCAGCAGATTAAAGAAACACCCCAAGAAATGGTAACAATACTTCATGTGGTTACAGAGGTCGCCACAAAGGAGAGCGCCGAGCCGTTACTCTACAGGGCCCGTGTGAAAAGTACAAGGTCAAGTTC